TAAGGCTAAAACTGATCTATTCAGAGAAAATTATTTCTCTTAGCAGAAGTCCAATCCATTGTACATAAGCATAGCATCTGGGAGCACCTCATAGTCCAATCATTGCTGAAATTGATGTGTCAGACACACATACCAATAAATTTGAAATCCCACTAGAGTTTCATGTCTTTTATAGCCTTACATATTGCTTTCTCTTTTAAAATGTCCATGGGGAAAAATATTCAAATAAAAAAATAAAATGCCCATGGGGGACACCTGGATGGCTCAGTCATTTAAGTGCCCAGCTCTTGATTTGGGCTAGGTCATTTCAATTGTCTAAGACAATTTCGCAAAACACCCTTCCTTTTCATAGGAAGCAGTAGAAGCAAGCAAATAGGAGACATTGAAATGTGCTAAAAGGATGAAAAGAGGTTAAAAGAACAAGGGCAATAACAACACTTTAACCCCACCTCAAGTTTCTAGAAGGACATTCCTCAGGTAGGCTAGGCCAAGATGCCAGTATCATACTGTCTGCTGAAATTTCTGGGCCTCATTTTCCTCTTATGTAAAAGGAGCAAGTCTGGTGAGATGATTTGTAAGTTCTCCTTGAGCTGTAACTTTTTTCACTCTGAAATTTTCCCACATTTATCTGACATCATCACCTCCATTATCTTATTTGATTTTCAAACAACCCTTCGTAACAGGGCTGGTGCCTTATGGGTAAACAGGCTCATGATGGTTAAACAGCCTGTGCAAGCTCAAACAGCTAGTAAGTTGCAAAAGAAAAGGTCCACCTCACATTTTTTTTTTTTTACCTAAGATTGTCCACCATGTTTCTATTTACATAGCTACTCTAATCAAAAAACTCATAGCTATCAAAGTGACGCATGTGTCTTTTGTGTTTACCTGTTCATTTACTCATTCAGCAAATATATATATTAAACACGTACTATATCCAAAGCCCCATGGACTTTGAAAATATCAATCTGTCATTAGAAAGGAGACACCAAAGCTACATTATGACACCTAGGCTTCCTTTCTCCCTCTTGGCAGAATCAGATAAGACTGAGCAAAGTCTTTCATTAAGACTTATACCAGCTAACATGACTCAGACATTCTCACCATTGCCTTAATTTAATTTATTGAACTTCCACTTAAGCAGTTCCAATGAAGACTTTAAGTCTCCATCCTCCAGGAATCAGTAATCAAATGAGGGTAGATTGGAATGCTATAGGAAAAATCAAGATAGCACCTCCTGTGCTCTTAGTCTGGAAGCAATGATACCAAAATTTGGTGAGCATTGTAGATGGTCATTTTTATTTATATCATGTCTCCCAGGGTCCTTAAAATGTGATTGTTTTCATATGCTCACAAAATGAGAAGGAAGAGTTAAGAATCATTTCCAGATTTCTGGTTTGGGACACTGAACAAGATGATAGAAGCACTCAAAAGTACAAAATGATAAGAGCAGTTAGAAGTAAAGGGAGACAGCGAATTTCATCTTAGATACAGGCCTTTGAGGTGTGCAATAGGAGAGTTCTAGAAAGCAGGTAAACACACACATAAAAGTGCACGTCTCTTCCAGAGGCTGGGTTGGAGATAGACTCAGGAGTCATCATAATAGAGGGCATGGTTAAAACTTCCCAATCCTACAGGAAATGTGTAGAGAGCAAGGAGGGCACAGAGCAGAGGACAGAGTCTCAAGCAGCTCTAAGTGCTAGAAACACTTTTAAAAAACTGTTACAGGAAACAGAGAGCTTCAGGATATAAATGGAAAAAAATCACCAAGAAAGGGACAGGAAAACGGGGAGAGAATATCACAGAAACTAAGAGAAACATTTAATGAAAGGGGTGGGTCAGCTTTGTTAAAAGTCACAAGCCCAGTAAGCCAGGCACTAAAAAACTTCAATACATCAGTACAATGAAGATCACTGCTGATTTTTGTCAGAGCAAGTTTAGGGAAGCGGAAGGGTTAGAAGCCATATTTTGGAGGGTGGATCATGGGTCCACTGGTAAACAGGAAATGAAGAGTGGAGGCAGCCAGGATGCTCCTGTAACTTTCCTACAATGAACTTGCAGCCATATTCGTGTAATAAAATTAAGAAATGACTCAAGTCATTTTGGCTAAAAGAGAAAATTAAGAAAGAAGAAAGAGTTGGAGAGGGCTGTGCAGATTTGAAGATCATCTGTTGTGTATATCCTGAGGGTTTAGGAAAAGAAGAGAGAGGAAAGTCAAACCGCAATAGGCAGAAGAGATCATTGTTTTGAGAAAGCAAATAACACTTGATTTTTTTTTTCTCATGTGAAGGATGAGTGTACCTGGAAAGCTACAAGAGATCATGTCTGAATCAGATCTTAGTCTATAAAAGCCCATAAACTTAAATGAATTTCCCGGTTGAGAGTATAGGGCTAATACTAAAGAAAGGTTCACATTTCCATAAGCATTTATGAAAAGTAGGGCCAACACTGAGAGGTGGTCTAGTACTGCGGAGAGATGGCAGACCTCTAACTGACCTGCCGATGTTGAGGAGGGAGAAGGCAGGAGGTTCAGGAAAGGTCTTTTGGGTCCAGGACCCTCTCCTCTTCACTGTGCTCTATCAGTGCTGACCGAATCACATGAATTAAACTTCCTGACCCCAGAATAAGATAAATTTTGAAAAAACAGCGTGTTTACAATCCATCACCAGAATAGTGTCTGAGAATTATTTTTATTTGTGCCTTTCTTCCAATGGCACAACAATCCTTTGTCTCAAATATAAGAGCTACAAGACATTATCTTAGATCTATGCGTTAAAGGGGAAAAAAAGCAGCGCAACAGAATGTCTTGTAATGGACTAAATACAAAACATCTGTTGTAATGAGAAAAAAAATCTCATTTTAATAATTACTTGGAATAAAGCTCCCAATGGGAAACAGAGACACAGAAATTATTTCTATAAAACAGAGCATAACACCACGTGTAGTGCCAACATAGGTAGAGCTTCTCAGATTTCATTTTTACATTTTTCAAATATATTTTCCTATCTTACCCTCAAACGCAATATATCTAACTAGAATTCCAACATCTGTTTCATATGAGAAATGCATAAAATATTTCCATAGAAACAGAGGACATCAGCATTTATTTCTTCGTATTCGTTTTGTTTTTTGTTTTTTTTTTTTTTTTTGAAAGATTTTCTAGAGAAGAGCTGCTTTAAAATCTCTTTTGGTTATGTTTGGAATCAAAACTGCCTTCAGTCGCCTGCTAGCTAAACAGGTCTAGAGACCAGCACATTGTAACATCTCTGGTACGGTGAGTTCAGAGTGACAGTTGCCCTGAATTTTTGTTATAGGCTCCTGAGATTAAAGCCTGAATTTCCTGCGCTGAGCTGCCTAGGTACTGAGGTGCTGTTGTTGTTGGAGGGGTTAACTTTGGAGCCACTGGTGCATATATTTGAGGGAGGATTCATAAAAACACGAGAGTGGAGCCTGGGTAAATCCATTACTGTGAATGAGCGGTGGCCAATAGAAAGGGAAGAAGAAGATCCAAGAAGGCTGAGGTAAGCAATCTGAAGCCCTGTCAAAGTAGAAACAATAGATCAAAAGGTGTTCACAGTGACTGGTCAGAGTAGCTTTTATTTTTTCTCCTAGGAGGCTTGATAGCATACACTAAAAATAAATTGTTTTAGTCATAGATTTTTCTCCCCCCTTAATTAAGTTTTAGCAAACTTCAGACCCAGACACAGGACTCCACGGTATATTCCTGGACAGCAAGGTAAACTATTTTTGCACTTTTTAAAAACTTAAAGCTAAGAATTCAAAGTTCTGGTTCATCAGAGGCAGGGTTATGGCTTAATAACTAAAGAAAATCCCTATTCTGAAGAAAAGAATGTTTTAATGTGTCTCTATTGGAAGATGACTAGAGCAGAATTCTGCAATCGTAAAAAAATGTGACAGCTTGTGGAACCAGCTCTGCACTTGCTACTTTCCTCAATTTAGTGGCACAATTGAAAGATCAGCATTTCATAAGTGATGCTTATTTTATTTTTTCCTAAGGAATTAGCAAAATGTATGCTATTCTAATTACCAAGCGATTGAATTAAATGTACATTGGTCGGAATGCTACTGATAGATATATATAAATATATACTACTTTTCCTGTTAGAACAGTTTGTTGTACCCACAACCTTATTGATATCCAATGGGGAGGGTTTATATCTTTTGGATGGTCATATACCAATTAGTGTTAACCTTTTCTTTGATAGCAACCATCCTGAAAATATGGGCTCTATCTGAACCGAGACATATTGTCTGTTTTTTCTTATCAACCACAGTTGAATATATGCCTCATTGTGATACAGAGTTTATAATCCAAACTCCCTGGCTGAACAACTTGAGTTCGTACTTCTAATATTAGAAGTCTTACCCCCGACCCCAATATACAACTTACCGGAGAAGTTGAGCAACAGAGCAAGAGATTAATCACACATTTTTCTTCATATCTTAGAACCTTCCTTGACAACAAACTGCTAATATGTTCTTTGATCTCTCTATTTCTTTGGTTCAAGGGCCAAAGAGCCTGGGAAATCTCATCCAGATGTTCTATTCATTTAGGAGTAAAAGTAAAAGCATATGCTTACTTCTTAGAAACAACGCGGACTCTCAATCTGTTATTAAAAGATCATTTTTTGTACTCTTGTATTCAACTGCGGGTTTCAGTTAACTTTCTTGTATTAAATAGCTTGGAATGGAAAAGCACTTAGAGCTCCTGAAATTTGCTTTCCATTTCTCGGTTTTCATTGTGATTGGGTTAAAACTGGGAAGCTAAAAGTTACTGAGTTTCAGTGTTTGCAAAATGCTTTGCATATAGTGGCTACTCAATATATGTGTATTAATTGATATCTAGTGTATAAATTGTTCAAATGTGTTTACCCTTCCCCTAAAGAAGCAATATTTGCTGGGTTTTTTTGGAGCACACAGTTTTCTACAGGTTGAAAATATTCAAGTATCTAACAGTTGTGTCCCCCATCCTAGGTACTATAATGGCAACCACAATCTGTTTCGTCATCTGGGTATTATTCATAACAGATACTGTGTGGACTCGAAGTGTGAGACAGGTCTATGACGTAGGTGATCCAGAGGATTGGGCTATGCATGACTTTGACTGTCCCAGGGAATGTTTCTGTCCCCCTAGTTTCCCTACTGCTTTATACTGTGAAAATAGAGGTCTCAAAGAAATCCCTCCTATTCCTTCAAGGATCTGGTATCTTTATCTTGAGAACAACCTGATAGAAACCATTCCTGAGAAGCCATTCGAGAATGCCACCCAGCTGAGATGGATAAATCTAAACAAGAACAAAATAACCAACTATGGGATTGAAAAAGGAGCCCTGAGCCAACTAAAGAAGCTGCTTTTCTTATTTCTGGAAGATAATGAGCTAGAGGAGGTACCTTCCCCATTGCCAAGAAGTTTAGAACAATTACAGTTGGCTAGAAACAAGGTGTCCAGAATCCCTCAAGGGACCTTCAGCAATCTGGAGAACCTGACCCTTCTTGACTTGCAGCACAATAAACTACTAGACAATGCCTTTCAAAGAGACACCTTCAAGGGACTCAAGAACCTAATGCAGCTAAACATGGCCAAGAATGCTCTAAGGAATATGCCACCGAGATTACCAGCCAATACAATGCAACTGTTTTTGGACAACAATTCTATTGAAGGAATACCAGAAAATTATTTTAATGTGATTCCTAAAGTGGCCTTCCTACGACTAAACCACAACAAATTGTCAGACGCAGGTCTCCCTTCTAGTGGTTTTGATGTATCCTCAATACTAGACCTTCAGCTATCTCACAATCAACTCACCAAGGTCCCTCGAATCAGTGCTCACCTGCAGCACCTTCACCTTGACCATAACAAAATTAAAAGTAAGTAATCGTCAGGGTATGTCTTTGATTAAAATGCTCATGGTCATTAAACTTATTCTATATTTTCTTTCAGAATAGTAACTGTGTTGGGCTTCCCCCCCACCATCTGCCACCAACTAATATGCCCTCAGATTTTTTTTCAATCTTCAGTATTTTCGTTTTGTCTGTTCACACACAATCTTAATGGACAAGGAAGTTCTAATCTTCAATTTGTAAATTGAAAAGTGGACCTTAGTATTCTACAAAGGGTGATTACCCATTGGAGAAATTGAATGTATCTTCTTTTACTCCTGGGATAGTCCAATATTCCTGCCTCACTGGGTAGATTTATTTAGGAAAATGTACCAAGTACAAATGACCTCATGAATAGTAATAGGAGGAATATGATTTAGGAGGTATCAGAAAGGCACCTTGGTCCTAAAAACTACGGGTGCCTGAAACCACCTTAATTAAAGACTCTGCTTTAGATGACAGAGTTTCTCGAACTTTAGAGTGTACAGGTTTGTGGCTCCATGCCATGGTTCCTGATTGAGTAATTCAGGATGAGACTTGAGTGAGATTTCATTTCTAACAAGTTCCCAAATAGGGCTGAGCCTGCTGCTCTGCGGACCAAGCATTAGGAATTAGTGCTGCCATTTAACACCTTGTTCAGTAGAAACGGAAGCAAATGCTCCTGGAAGTTGGTGACTTCTCAGGACTCATGGCAATCGGCAAGGTAGAATGATTGCTCCTTTCCTGAAAATAGTTTCTGATAAGGGAGAGAGGGATGAGTGAGAGTGTCTTGGAGGCAGAGGTGTCACCCAGGAAACACATGGTTATAGAAAGAAGCTGGAGACACTAAATGCAAACCTGGCATCTGCACAATCACACTGAGACCAGTTTGACCTTGGTGCAGAAGTGTACAACGTCATGGGCATTGGAACCAGCCTGGCACCTGCCCATGCATCCTCAATCCTGGCACAAGCCCATTAGGAAGAGAATGTGAGGAGACTTCTCCTGAACAACCTTAGAAAATACGTTCCTAAAGTGTGAATCAGTCCATTTGTAGGAAAATAGAACAGATAATTGTCAGAAGGTTGTACCACTTGGTTATTATTCACTCGTTTCCTTTAAGCAAATAATCACACAAACATCCTATTTATAAGAATAGACTATTTTTCCACTGGGAACTGCTCGGTTATTCAAGTTTTTCTCTTCTTTTCTTTCTTTTTTTTTCTTTTTGGGGTTCTTCTAACAGCATACTTGAGCATATAATCTAGGAATTAACAAAGGCTGCTGCCACATTTTTCCATGGCGATGCGACGCATTGTTTAATCCTGTAGTCAAAAGCAAAAGATGCAACATAAAAAAAGAAACATTGCTGAATCTTTTTCACTGAACCGGATCGCACAACAGCCATATTGACCTAATATTTGCATTTTTTTTTCTAATGAAAGTTCTGTGCTTCTACAGGTGCATCCCTTAACTGGCAACAAAAGCCCCGTGGACATTGGATGTGGGAAGTGAAAAAAGGGATTCCACATAGATCCCTGTTTGTGAATTAGGGATTCCCCTGAGAATTTGAAGACAAGGGTCTTTAGGAGTAAAATAGCAAAATACAACACACAGTTGTGCACACACTCCAGGAACTTTCATATTTACACAAAGTTATACCAAGAAGGGTAGGATTTTGTTCTCCATCCCCTGACATTTTTAAAAGTTTTACAATGTTTTCTCATATATTTTTATTCTTCAACTGTTCTCATACCTTAGCATGTATCAGGATCATCTGGGAGGCTTGTAAAATACAGCTTGATGTCCCCACCTTCACATTTTCTGACTTATTAGCTGTAAGATGGGGCCTAATAATTTAGTTCTCAAGAAATACTGATGCTGCTGGCCCAAGGACCACACTTTGAGAATAATAAATTAATCCTCACAAAAATCTTGTGTGGTAGCATTAAGACTTTCTAAAGAAGAAACTGAGGATCAACTAAGTGAGAATATTTGCTCAAGGACAAAGAATAAATATAATAGCCAGAACCTGAGCTCAGGACTTGTCAGTATACTATATACTACACAGTATAGTCCCAGCTCATTTGTCTTCAATTTCCAGATTAGAGGACTTTAGAAAAATGTCTACCAACGCAAGTAAGAATAATTTTAACAGCAACAACATCAACAAAGAGAAATTGATTTATTTGTTTCTTAATGTAGATATCAGGTATGGTATTTCTATATTCCCAGAAAATAAGTGCAAAAGAAGAATTTCCTTGGCTAGAATTATTGGCTCACGATTATATCCATTATATCACACTGTGCTGTAATAACTGCTAAAGTACTTATTTCTTTTGGCTGCATAATCTACTCTAGTTGTTAATAAAGTGGTTTCCAAGAAACATACCTTTTATATGAAGAGTTCTTAGAATTTATGGTACAGTGACCTTTTCTTATGAGAAAGATGGAAATACTTATTTCTTCTGAACAATTTAAAGGACTTTAAATTTGGCAACAACTACTCAAATAAGTTACTTCTTCGTGTTCTCTGAGAAACACCATAATTAATTTACGAAAATATAACTACCTTTAGAACTCTTGTTTCTCACATTGCATTTATTCAGGCCTGCGTTGATTATGGGGCATAAGGGTAATAAGAAGGATAGGACATTAAAAGAGAAACAGCCAAGGGACCCTATGTAGTAGGAAAAGGACAAGGTGAAGACTCAGCTCTGGCATTTGCTTGCTAAAATACCTTGTGGGCAATACCTTAACTGTCTGAACCACTTATATCTGCTATGCCCAGGTAGGGAGGATAATCATATTGCCTGATAAAGCCTCTGTGATGTTAAGGTGATAATGCATGTGAAAAACTAACTTTATATACACAAATGGCTATAAAAATACGAGTCATTATTTTTTAGCAAGTTGAATTCACAAATTGACCTAAGATCGGAGTAAAGCAATCTCACGTGCGGCATAAGCTCAAAGGAAGGCCATTGCCAAAGTTAGGTGGGTCTCATCTTCTAAGGGAAAACCCTTTCCTCAAAATAGTTTCATATGAGACTTAAAAGCAGTATGCAGATTCATGATTGAAATCAGCTAATGCACACACTTGTCTGAATTTTGCTAATTTAACAGGACTTCTTTCCTGAATACTCTTAAATTTCAGTATGGTCATTGATGCCAAGGGCTCTGGTCCAAGGCAGGTGCATGATTTCTCACATCCTAACCATCTGAAAAGGCTCATGGGATGTTTGCTGGCTTGAATTCTTTGCAATTCAATTCTTGGCAAATGTATCCTTTCTAATTAAGTACACAAATATAAAGATCCAAAATTCTTTTCTATAAGTATTACATATGTAAACTTAGGTTAAATGTGCTTTTTAAAACTCATCATGCACTATTAATTGGAAATTTTGCATTTTAAGATAGTTTTTGAGTACTTTCCCTAATAATAGACTAATTTTTCCACCTATACATGCATCTGTCCATCCATCTACCTGTGCACCTATGTGTTCTTTCTATGAACCTTTGTCTCCACTTCGAATGCCCTAAATACTACCTGTCTTATTTTATAGTAGTCTAAGCATGTCTTATCTCACCTGGAAGCTTCAAAAACAAATGGTATATCTTATATGCTTTTATTTCCATCACATTTTAACAGTATGTCCTTTCTAGTGCTCTGCACAAATTATAACTGAATATGGAATTATTTTGTGTGTGTATATATATATATATATATATATGCACTATATGTATATATATATATATTGCACATTTTTATGGGCTACTTTTATAAAACAGATGTGCACAACCTCCAACCTACACAGAAATGGTTTGTATCTGGCACTTTGACAGATCAGGCCGCTAGGCCCTCTACAGGATTGTTGCATATGGCCTCTTGGTCTTCCCACCCCGGTCACTTCTGTTCAAGTTCATTCACACATGCCATCTTTGTCTCCACAGATGTGAACGTCTCTGTAATATGTCCTACCATACTGCCTGGAGAACAAGATTCCTTCGGTTATGGACCTCACCTTCGCTACCTCCGTCTTGATGGAAATGAAATCAAACCACCAATCCCAATGGATTTAATGACCTGCTTCAGGCTCCTTCAGGCTGTCATTATTTAAACACATCTTTAACAATCTAAAATTGGTTTCATGGGCTAATATTTCTGAAATGAAATTTGGTCACTATGCATAACTTTAAGACAAAAGTCACATTCCAGTGGTGCTGTCTTGCCACCATTTTTGTTTGTGAAGCTTATGTTTTCTATTCAAAGACGCTTTCACCAATGATATGTAGCATGGTTAGCTTTTCTTCAATTAATATAACAGACACAGAGTTAAGATAGTTTGTCAACTTATCAACTCAAAGATAGTTCTTTTTTGTCTCTTTCACAGCTTACTCATATCAAATAATGCAATTGTACTGTTATGCAATATAAAAGCCATATTTGTGTGCATGTTCAAAATTGAGTATGCAGATACTATATTGATCGTAGGAACACAGTAATCTAACAGGAGGTAAGGAGATCTGTAAAAAACTGAAACAATGAGATATTTTTTCATCATAATTAATTGCAGATTGCTACATAGTATTTGTAGGTATAAGTTTGGTATTTAGCTCAAGAATGGATATAAAATGTATTAAATACTTATTGTAGTCATTTAATACCAAATAACAGAGCAACATCAATTTTCAGTTCACTACTATTTTTTATAGCTGCTGTTCTTAGATATAGTACAGTGTATTCTCTCTATTAAACAAAGTACTAAGTTTTATATTTCTTATAACACATTTCTGAAAGAATCTTAGTGTTTTAACATTTGAAATCCACTTGAATTGCAAATTGTTTAGCTCTTATATTTGCTAGTGGTTTTGGATTTTTTAAATAAAAACAGTGAATGCTTTCTAACAAAATGGTACCAAAATATTTATTTCAAGGGCATTATTTACAAGTTTTATTAAGAACATATTTTAATAAAAAGTGTTTAAGTAACAATAATTTCCATTTTTCTACCATGAATATATGCAAATATATTTCCCCCTAATTTTGTTTTTCCTTTTCTTCTTGAAAACATAAGAAAAAAATTATACTCAAATCACTTAACATAATACACCTACTTCTCATGAGTTAAAAAGGAATAACCCAGGATATCATTAAGTAATAAAGTATCGTTTACATTAGACTACTAGTTTCATAAAGCATATCTTTAAATAATAAATATTCCATAGAGATTCATACATGACTTTAGATATTTTCCAAACAATATTCTGAAGTATTCTATATAATTTTATGTATTTCCCTAGAAAAATGATCATATACATTTGTGAAACATCAGATTAAGGAAAATCTAACATGCTATTTCAAGGTTTCTCAGAAACTTAAAATGTCATTCTATAAGGTGAATTCTCAAGAAAAGAGCATAACACACACAAAACTTATATGGGGTTGGGAGGGAAGAACCAATTAACTTACTTTGAACAGAGTTTTTAAAATGCTGGCTAAAGGAGAGAAATGAAATTAATTGACATTAGGAATAATTTTTTAAAACTTCAAAGCACATAAAGAAAGTTATGAAATTTATGTCATGAAAATACAAGTAATGAGATATCATTAGGCTGGTGAAAAAGAATATATTGAAAGAAATCTAAGAACTTTAAATATTTGAAAACTTGCCATAGAAAAAGGGGCTAAAATTCCAGGAGCTCCAAAACGAAGAGTAGAACATATGGGTGAAATGTATATGGAGCTATATTTTAGCTCTAGCTAAGGAAGAATTTTCAAACAGTTGTTCAGAGTCATCCAACAATAAAAGCAACTTTTCTTGAGATGGAGTTACCCACCACTGGAACTGTTCAAACTGAGAATGAGTAATGGTTCAAGACAAAGGCTATAAAAGGAATTCCTGATCTGGAAGCAAGGTTGTAATATGTTCCTCTATGACCTTTCAACTCTAAGAATTTCCTTTTTCCTCCCTTCCTTCTTGCCTCCCTTCCCCCCTTCTTCCCTCCCTCCCTCCCTCCCTCCCTCTCTCCCTGCCTCCTTTCTTCTTCCTTCCTTCATTCCTTCTTCCCCATCTTTTTTATTCTTTATTTATCTCAGAAAATATGTATTGAGTACTACACACACACACACACACACACACACACACACACACACCCGACTATCCTACACACTGGGAATGTAATAGTTTATACTATAGTGGATAGTTCATCAATTAGGTGAATGAATCACAAAAATATATAAAATGTTATCTGTGATAAATGCTATTAACAGAAAGCCACATGGTACAAAGGAATTATTAATACTGATTTGATGTAAAGATTCTTTAAACAAGTAATGATTAAGGAAACATATAAAGAAAGAATGAGAAGTATTCAATGCTGGTGGGAAAAAAGAATATTTCAGGCAGAACATAGACACTGTAGTTTCCAGGAATAATTTAGAAGTTACCTGAAGTGATTTAAGTCAGAAGGAATTATGTTCATTGAAGATTAGTATCATGTAGTGGTAAAGAATATTAACATCGAAGCTAAAATTACTGAATTCAAACCCCAGCTTTCCTGTTAAGTGGTCCTAGTCAGACTCTAAATTCTCTGTACCTCAGGCTCTCCTCCTTTATGAAATGGGGACAAATAATAGTACCTCCTTTATTCAGTTAGAATTAAATGAGTTAGAACATGTAAAGTGTCTCTTCTGAACACATGGTAAGTGCTAAATAAATGTTTATTATTATTGTATGCAATATATATCTACATAAACATATACATACATATATACGCAAGCTTTTTTCTGTAGTGCGTAAAACCATTTGGAGGGGATTAAGACCAGATAGGAGTAGATCAGTTAGGATTTCAGTCTTACAGCACAAATTTGAAAAGTGGAGGTAGCTTAGAATATAAAGACACTGATGGTGTGGGCAGAAAAGGACAGACATGCACAAATGTGAGAGAATTAGGAGGTAAAACTGTCAGGATTTGGTGGTTGATTGGATAGATAAGAGAGAGAGAGAGGAAGTGCTAAGGTTTCTGCTTGCAAACTGAATACATGGCAGTGCATTTTCTAAGAGGAACATGCTTAGAAGATCATGGGTTTGATTTTAATGCAGTTAGTTTGGGGGCACCTGGGTAGCTCAGTCAGTTAAGCATCTGACTTCGGCTCAGGTCATGATTTCACAGTTAGTGAGTTTGAGCCCCATGTCGGGCTCCGTGCTGACAGCTCAGAGCCTGGAGCCTGCTTCAGATTCTGTGTTTTCCTCTCTCTCTCTGCCCACCCCTTCCCCCTGCACTCTGTCTCTCCCTCTCAAAAGTAAATAAACTGTTAAATTAAATAAATAAATGCAATTTGTTTGAAATTATTTTGATTCATCCAAGAGATGTCATGTAAGCTGTCGAATGAGAACTAAGGTTAAAACAAGGGGTCTGGACAGATGCATAAATATCTAGGTGAAATTTTCTAGATTTTGTTTACCGTTCCAAAAATTTTAGAATTCTGCATTAAATATTCATATGCTCATGAACGAAGACTGAGAGAATGAAGGCATAATTCCAAATATTTACCACTGAAGCTATGAGGAATAAGATGAGCTTTCTATCAGAAATACTTAAAAATATATATGTATAAAGTTACTATGAAGTCCCAGAAATTTACAAATGGTCTGCTGCTCTCTTCATGTATACACTGTGATCACTACCAAAAATTTTTAAAAACCAAGAAGAGACTAGGAGACGAGCTGAAGCCATTTTTGAAGTCATGGGATCTTCATAAATGCTCCATTTCTCATTTTATTGCCCTAAATTAAACAAAAGCGAATGGAACAAAACAATTTTATCTATGACCTCACCATGCAAAAATGATGAACTTCTTTTATAAGCAGGTAAAAAAGAGAAAAAAAAAGTGTCCAAGGATTGGGAGCAGTATATTTGCAAATTAAATGTTAAAAAAAATGGGTTGTTGGTGGTAAGAACCCTGTAATAGATCAGGTTTTTTTGCTTTCTTTAAATTCTCTTTAAAAAAGAAAAACAAAACCAAAAGCAAAACAAAAGAGAACTGCATGGTGGAAGACAATTCCCAGGCGACCTCTTTGATAAAGCTGGGGTCAAAGAATACGATGAATCCCCACTTCCCAAAATGATTGAATGTAGATGTATGTGTGTGCTGATAAATAGACAGCTGGATAGAGAGATAGAGATATTTAAAATTTAAAGTGTTCCAGAAACCATGCATTGGCCAGGAGGAGTGTAAATTTTATTGGTTAAAGTTAGCATTATAGGTCATACATGAAGAATGAATTTTTTTCAAAGTTAACCACAATAGACTGGTAGGGAGTATTTACCTGTCAGAGAGTGACAAAGAGTATTCACTGAGTCCAAAAGAAGGCAAAACATAAAAAAAAAAAAAAAAAAGACAAGTGGAAAGTATATAATAAAATAGTGCATTTGAATCCACATTGGTAATTACATGGTACAGTGGTTAAGGACTCGTGTTTTAGAGAGAAAAGATCAAGTTTAAAATCCAACTTGTGGCATTGACTTTGCCAATTCCTTGATCTTTGGCAAGTGTTTGAACATTTCTAAGGATTGGATCCTCACTTTCAAAATAGGGAACAATATCAACTATCTTACCCAGTTGCTGTAAGAGTAAGAGAAAGAACAGATGTGTAGTTCTTATCATCTGACATGTGGAAAGTGGCCAATAACCGGTAGGTTGGAATGTTATTATTAGTGGGGAGTCTGGTGCACACAATTGCACATGTTTTCTCCAGACGGTTTTGCAAATAAGGAACTGAGTAAAATGGATGGCAAAATTGATCCAAGTTAGTGTAAGTTTTAGAGCCATGGAAGTCTAAGTAGTCAAGTGGTAGTGATGGACAGGGTCTATGAACCAGACTAACATTGGACAGCAAAAGAAATGAAATCAGGAGGGGGTGGATCAGTTGAGGAAAAAAGACTGAAGACTCCATGGAAGGAAGTAAACTTGAGAGGAGTCACAATGTACATAATCTGGAAAGAAAAGAATGATCTGAGCCTAGGGGGCTACAGGTTAAAAATGCCCAAAATTGCCAAAGAGCCTAATGCTGAGAAATGAGAAGATTCTCTGGGTGTGGGAAGGGATTGCCAGAAC